AAAGGGAGGGGCATCAGGGGAAGGGCGCCGCCGCTGTCCGAAGCAGCGCCGAGGCTCCTGCAGGGCGATGTGGCCCAGGGAGTGCTGTCCAGCGACGACGAGTGGCACGGCAAGAACAGCGGTTGAGGGGCGATGAAGGGGGGGAGCTAAAGCGGGGGGGGGGGGGGGGGGGGNNGGGGGGGGGGGGGGGGAGATGAGGTTGGCGATGGCCGTCACCGCCGCTCCGGCCCCTGAGGCCTTCGAGCCAGCAGCCTAAAGAAAGAGTGCTTAAAAGCGGCAGGGCACAGCTCTCTCCCAGCGCGGCGCGCCGAGGTGCCTGCTTGGCCTAGGCTCGGAGGTCTCCTTCGGCGCCGAGGCACAAAAAGGCCTCTGCACCCTGGCCTTTCTCTCGTCTCCGCAACCTCGCTCCTCAGGAACGCAGCGAGCAAGGCGAGGAAAGTGAGGGCTCCGCTGAGGCGTCTCTGCCCTCGCCGGACGTGCCGGACATGCCGGACATGGAGATGGAAAGGGCGATTCAAAGGGAGATCCAACGCAGCTTCGGCACCAGCATGGCCCCAACCGAAGGCGGGCGGGGTTGGCATCTGCATCGCTTCTCCTTTCATGTCTTGGCATCGCTGAGGCACCTCTGCGCATCTCGGAAGGTCTCCGAGTTCCGAGAAGAGGCAACGCCAAGCCGGAAGTCACAGGCACCGGATCGCCGTTTGCAACAGAACTTCTCGATCAACGGAATCAGCTGAAGACCGTGGGCATTCAGGCTCTCGCTCCATGCCAGGTCCCTGACTGTGAGCAGTGCGACCGGCTCCTCGAGGCCGAATGCCTGACGGGCAAATGCCCGTTTTCTCCTACTTTCGGTCTCAAGGTCTCGGTCTCCTTCGCGCTTTCGGGGCACTGCTTCGCTTTGGACCCAGCACTCCGCTCTGCGCTGCGCGCTCTCCGCTGTGCTCCGTCTTCTCAGGGAGTGCGGAGACTGGGCCCGCTGGCCCGTTCACGAGCGCCTCTACGCAAGGGGCACCAAGGCACAGCACAGCCGCGCCACGCTCCCAGCAGGCCCAACAGGCGCGTGCTTGTGACCGGCGCTCTTTGCCTGAGGCGGCGAGAAGAGAAGCAGAGAAGTTGGCAAAGAGAGGGTTTTCTCCGAAGCCCTTGAAAGACCACAGCCCGGCAGCAGCTTGGCAGCAACACACGCGACCTGCAAAGCGAGCTGCTCGCAGGATGCTCGTGCTGCGGGTCGTTTAGCAAACTTTTGTCGGGGTCGCTTAGCCAGTTCGAGTCCGCACCGTTTTGGCACCCCAAAGGAGTAGGGCCCACAGAGCCCGTGCAGTCATGTATGTATGTGTGCATGTGTGTATGTATGTATGTATGTATGTATGTATGTATGTTGTGAAAATAACACGCCTGATTCTTCCCTCGACTTTGCGACTTTGGTGTCTCAAGACACTTTGCCCTCGCAGAGAAAGGCGCATCCGAACTTCAGGGCTACTTTCGTGTCTCAGTTGTGTGAGCATGTGCACGAATTACTTTAGGGTAGTTTGGTGCTCATTCTGTACTAATATACTTTCGCAGTGTGTGTATGTA